GAATATATCTTATAATATCTGCCCCTTTTTTATACCTAAAATATGTTCAAAAGTAAAGTCAAAATACAACAAAGATCAAAACAACTTAAAACACTTAAAATGAATTAAAAATAAAAAAGACATCAACTCAAACAACAATTAGCATGAATTCATTTATAATTCTCCATATTTTTTCAGATTACTCGTTTTATCATTCTCTTTAATAAACACAAGGATCTGGCATTTTTAATATTTTTTATTATATTTTTAAATTGTAGTTTTTCTGTGCTTCAGGCTTTAGTTTTAATAATAACCCTTGAATTTGTGCTACAATTAATTTGTTCAAAATTTCAAACGCACAATTTGAATATATTTTACTGCAGAACAGTTAGCTCTTCATTGCCAWTTAACAACTAAAACAGCGTTAGCCACTTGTAACTGTTATTGTACCGAAACGTCATCRTCCTCAACCCTGAAAACGATGAGTCAGCCACTCGTTGGACCGGAGGCTGCTGCGCCCTTTAAAGCAGCAGCTGCTTSAGTCCTGGCACTGGTTAGACTGAAAACACTGCCAACCAGTGACACTTCCTTTCTGCAGCCACAGAGAGCAACAAAACAAGACCAAATCTCACACAAAGAGGGGGGATGTTCACTGAGCAGAGGTGCTGTGCTGGCTTCAATTATCAAATTCTGCAACGTGTCAAAGCTCCAGCCTTACCCCGTCTAACGAGCGGGGCTACAAAGTCCCTGACGATTTCTTCACCACTACTATTGGAAGAATCTGCAGCTTTGTGTTGTAGTTCTTGTTAAGCTGCTGGTTTGCAGGCTTGTGCTGAATCCTGGAGTTTCTCTTCACTGACAGCGATAAGMTGAGGAGCTAACTTCCATCGACTCTGCTCCGTTAAAACAATCACAATATATGTTGTTTTTAATCAGCCCTTGTAGCTGAAAGAGGGGAAAAAATACACAAAATTGGACTRAAATGGGMTGAAATCATTCATTTGGATCTGACTTAATGATATAGTCAGGAGCTCAGTGTGTGAAAGTGTAACGATTTAAACAAAAAACAATGCAATTTCAGCTTGTGCGCTGAAAATCTGTTTTCTCCTTATGTAACAGAAAGTTTTACCTCCTCTTGCATACCCTGCATTTTATTTTCACGAGCTCAGCTTTCTGCAGAAATGCTGCTTGTTTTGATTTTTTTTCTTGATTCTGCAGTAACTAATACTCTGTAATGC